CCCCCCCAGCTCTGCTCCTATCAGAAGAGGGGGGGGTTCCCCTGCCCTGTCCCTCTGACCCTTTTCTACCCCTTCGGCTTTTATCAAGGACGAGGTCAACCCCCTCCCTCCTCCACGGCCACCCGACGGCCGTCTCAAGGACACAGGATCCCGAAACATCGGCTTTCGGGCACTGCCAGGCGCCTCCCGTCCTTTTCGGAGGAGAAAGGCCAGGGGGAAAGTATTTCAAATAAAAAACCAATTGAATCCACTGAGCAACCCTGTCCCTGTATACAGTACGGAGGGCGGACACACACAAACACACACACAAACACCCCTCTCTCCCTCCGGGACTACATTGCACAGCAAAAGGCGCACCTCGAATACTACAGAGGTGGTGGTCTTGAGAAAACTGCAGGGAAGGCATCGCAAAAGCTTGACGGACAACTTCAACGGACAGACAGCTCAGGGGTAAAAGCCGGCCTCTGGCTGTGGAGCTTGAAGCTGGGAGTTCGATTCCCACCTCCCACTCCAGGACAGACTCCTAGAATCATGAAGCTGGAAGGGGGCCTCGAAGGCCATCAAGTCCAACCCCCCTGCTCAGTCCAGGAACCCAAATCAAAGCAGATCTGAGAAAGAGGGTGGCCGAGTTTTCTCTTGGGAGGCCTCCAGCGCTGGAGCGCTCAACACGTCCCGAGGTCATGGGCTCCATTGTCGTACTACAGTACTCTAACAGTTAAGACGTTTTCCCTGCTATTAAGCCTAAATCTGGCTTTCTGTAGCTTGAACCCATTCTTGTGCATCCTGCACTCTAGGGTGATCAAGAACAAAAAGATCCTTCCCCCTCCTCTGTGGGGCAGCCTTTCAAGTCTCTGAAAAGTGCTATCAAATCCCCCCTCGGTCTTCTTTTCTGAACGCTAATTCACTCTGACCTCCAAATGAGTCAATATTCGAAGGATGCTTCATCCTGAACAGAGACTTTTATCCAGTTATTTACAAATAATAATTATACCCACAGAAAAAGGATCCCCAAAACTGTAAGACGGAGAGAAAAAAAGAGAATCAGTTTAATAAGTCTGATGAGATTGGGACACTCGATTGTGGTT